AGTCTCAGAGTGGCTTAGAATCTCCTTCCCTTCCTCTCCCCGCAGCAGACACCCTGTGAGGCAGGTGGGGCCGAGAGAGCTCTTTTGCGGACTGCTCTTGAGAGAACAGCTCTGAGAGAACTTGTGACTGACCCAAGGTCACCTGGCTGGCTGCATGTGGAGGAGGAGTGTGGCATAAAACCCACTTCTCCAGATTAAAGTCCGTCGCTCTTTAACCACTACACCACAGTTGCTTGGCCTGCAGAAGGTTCCAGGTTCGATCCCCGGCATCTCCGGCAGAAAGGATCAGGCAGTAGGTGCTATGAAACATCTCTGCCTGAGACCCTGGAGACCTGCAGCCAGTCAGAATAGACAATATTGACTTTGATGGACCGAGGGCCTGATTCAGTCTAAGGCAGCTACGTGTGTGTGTATTCAGCATGGCAATGCAGTCGGAAGGCCGGAATTGCTTTAATTTCTGCCAGTGGGTGAAATCCGGCTCTTGTCCGCATTCCACTACGCAGGTTCGCTGGAGGCCAGTGTGAGGCCTCCAGAGACCAACCGCATCCAGTTGGAATGAGCTCCCGGGGGAGATCCGGGCCCTGCGGGACCTTGCGCCATTCCGCAGGGCCTGCAAGACGGAGCTCTTCCGCCAGGCTTTTGAGTAGGAGCCGCCGCCCTACTATACCACCACCGTCAAGACATATGAATGGAGGCATTGACGGGGCCCTAGGAAGAACTTGGAATTACATCAGAAAGGCCGTTGCCACTGGATATGTACGCTGAGAATACCAGCTCGAGTCGTGGGGATACCGTCTTGGATCTAGGACACGAGTAACTGGATAGAGCACTTTAGTCTTGATGTTTTGATTATGTTTTTACTTATGGCTAGACTAATGATCTGGCCTCTGTTGGCCGCCCTGAGCCCATTGAGGAGGGCGGGATATAAGTGTAAAAATAAATAAATAAATAGAAATAAAACACTGTCTGAATTGGTACGCTGGACTAGCTGGTCCGTGGGCTCTGACCCAGCAGGGCTGCTTTCACAGAAGGAGACTCGCAGCTTCCCATGAACCACTGCCGAATGTTCTGCAGGAGCGGTCTGGCCCTCTCCCGCCCCCCTCCCGGCGACCGAGGCGCGACCCCCACCTTCAGAGAGGCCCTTCCCTCCAGGGCGGTGTGGACCACAATCTGCCCCTCCTGGCCCACCGCGAGGCTGGAGACGGTGATCGGCAGGGAGCTCTCGCAAGGGGGACGGATCGACTTCATGAACTGCCCTCGGCGGATGGTGTGGACGACGATGGTGCCGTCCTGGAGGGAGGGAGGGCAGGTTTTAGGAGGAGGCGGGCCCGAGAAGGACAGTTAAGAGGGTGAACATGGGGAAGGGTCTGGTAGGGGGGGCAAAAGGAGGAGAAATGCACGGCAATGGAAACCTCCTTTTGAGCGGAAGAGAATTCTAGCATCAGAGCTAACTACTATTACCCTGCAGCCTGCGGAGCCCTCGCCCTTACTAAGGTGTAGAAGTCATTACTGCTATGTGAAACAGACCCTGCCCCGCAGCAGAAGCTTGGCTATTTTACATTCATTCATTAATTCGTTCATTTATCTGTTAGTTCATTCGTTAGTTCATTCGTTAGTTCATTCGTTCGTTCATTCGTTCATTCATTCGTTAGTTCATTCATTCGTTCGTTAGTTCGTTCGTTCATTCATTCGTTTGTTCATTTGTTCGTTCGTTCGTTTGATTACCCTGCAGCCTGCGGAGCCCTCGCCCTTACTGAGGTGTAGAAGTCATTACTGCTATGTGAAACAGACCCTGCCCCGCAGCAGAAGCTTGGCTATTTTACATTCATTCATTAATTCGTTCATCAATTCGTTCGTTCGTTCGTTCATTCATTTGTTTGTTTGTTCGTTCATTCATTCGTTCGTTCGTTCGTTCGTTCGTTCATTCATTCATATCTTGCTTCCCCTCCAGCTGGAACCCAAAGCAACTTAGAATTTTGTTTCCCCTCCTCTGTTCCCTTAACAACCACCACCCTCTGAGATAGTTCCATGGGGTGGCTATTTGCCACAAGGTATAGATGGAACACTTTGTCTGGGGCAGTGATGCTCTGTCTTCTTGGTGCTTGCGGGGCAACAGTGGGGTTCTGGAGTTCTGGCCCCGCTGGTGGACCTCCTGATGGCCCCCAGGTATGGGGCCACTGTGTGACACTGAGTGTTGGACTGGATGGGACATTGGCCTGATCCAACATGGCTTCTCTCATGTTCTTATGGATAAATATACGGAGTACAGGTCCATCAGTGGCTTTTAGCCACAAGGTATAGATAGGAACACTCTGTCTGGGGCAGTGATGCTCTGTATTCTTGGTGCTTGGGAGGCTTGTGGACTGGATGGGCCATTTGCCTGATCCATCATGTCTCCTCTTATGTTCCTATGGATAAACATATGGAATGGAGGTCCATCAGTGGCTATTAGGTATAGATGGAAGACTCTGTCTGGGGCAGTGATGCTCTGTACTCTTGGTGCTTGGGGGACAATAGTGGGAGGGCTTCTGGAGTTCTGGCCCCGCTGGTGGACCTCCTGATGGTACCTGGGTTTTGGTCACTGTGAGACACAGAGTGTTGGACTGGATGGGCCACTGTCCTGATCCAACATGGCTTCTCTGATGTTCTTAAATTGAGAGTCTGTGACAGGCCCACGGTCCCCCAGTGGGCTTCCATGGTAGCAGTGGGGATTCAAACCCGGGTGTTCCGAGATCCTAGCCCGATTATCTACTGCGCCCTGCCAGCTCTGCTATGACCTCCGCCGCCTTCCCCACGGGACGACAGCTGCTCCAACTACATTCAAGGACAAACGCACCAGGCTACATCTGACGGGAATGGTTCAAGCTCGGACGTGGCCCGTTTTGGAGGCACCGGCGAGCACAGCGCCACCTTACCTTTGACCCCGACACGGCCATGTCCAACTCGGTGCTGATGGCCACACACGTGACTTCATCGTCGTGCCCGTAGAGAACCTGGACAGGCTTGGGTGCCAGGCCGCAAGAGAAACCACCCTGGCACAGGGAGAGGAAACAGGTCAAGGGGGCAGAATGTGGGGACAGCGGCGTTTGCTTGCCAAGCAGTCGCCACCGGTTCCCCCCCTCCCGTCCCGGCCTACTCTGGAAATGGCCGGAGAACTCATAAGACAACGCCGATGGCTCTACTCGCGGGGAGATACTCTCAAATACCGCTGACCTTACATTCTTGTATATGCAGTGCTTCAGTCCAGAGGGCATTCTTCACTATATATTATCTTGTCCTATATCTCAAATACCGCTGACCTTACATTCTTGTATATGCAGTGCTTCAGTCCAGAGGGCATTCTTCACTATATATTATCTTGTCCTATATGCACTCTATCTATCTATCTATCTATCTATCTATCTATCTATCTATCTATCTATCTATCTATCTATCTATCTATCTATGAGACGGGAGGCTGGACTAGATGGACCCTCACTGGTCTGACCCAGCAGGGCTCTTCTGATGTTCTTCTCAGGGGAAGGCCTCGGCCTCTCTGCCCTGTTGTTAGCCCTCCAGAGGAACTGCTTGGCCACTGTGTGAGGCAGGATGCTGGGCTAGATGGACCCTCACTGGTCTGATCCGGCAGGGCTCTTCTTAAGCTAAGAATGTTGTCTCACACACCAAGTATTCTCTTTCTCTCTTTCTCTCCCAGCCCTCATGTTTACTCTCTGGGCCTTTCCCCCCCTCCCCACCCCCCACCAGGGAGAAGTAAGTGACCCCCC